ATGAAATAGTAACTTCCAAAATCTACTGAGTATTAGCTATATTCCAAGAACCTTAGGTTCTTTTGAGTTATTGTTGTTATCTACCTTTCACAGATGGGGAAAATCAGGTTTAGAGAGACTCTGACTGACTTGCTCATCACATACCTGGACATCAGCAAACCTGGGATTCTTAGCCCCATTTCTGTTTAACTTTAAAGCCTATCTCCTAATTATTTTGCTAAAGTGTTTTATGAGAGAAATGTGTATGTTATAATTCCCTATGTAGCAGGAAAATTTGGGAAATGATATATCCCACCCTGAGATGTGTGTGTGTGTATGTGTGTATGTGTGTGTGTGTGTATATAATAAAATTTACTGTACACAAACTTTTTATTTATATTTATATGGAGTCATTATTTAAATTCGCTATATACCCAAACTTCTGAATTATGTACCTGATTGTGTGAAAATTATATGTATTTGATATTAAATGAAGCATCATAGTAGTATCCGGGGGGAAAACGACATTTGGAGGCTTTGTCCAATACTTTTTAAAGTCATTGTTTCTAATTCATATATATGGACTGAAAGGCAATAAGATCATCAAGCTTGCAATAGCTCTGTGTAAAGTAGGAATGAGTACACATAGAGTGAGATCGGGGTCCCCTTAAACAACATAGAGAACATTATCGGTATTGAATGAGTTTTGTAACAAAGTTCAGAGAATTGTTTTTTTTTAATGACTTTCAAAAGCTCCAGGCCAGGAAGGGTAGGGGAACTTAAATTTAATAGTCATGTACTATATAGCAATAGTAGTAATAGCTGTCCGACATGCATTAACTTTTAAGCCTTATAAAAACACTCTACGGATGGCAAATGAGCACATGAAAGTATGCTCCACATTATATGTCATCAGGGAAATGCAAATTAAAACAATGAGATACCACTATACACTTATTAGCTTGGCCGACATCCATAACACTGACAACACAAAATGTTGGCGAGGGTGCAGAACGGAACTCTTCTTTATTGCTGGTGGGAATGCAAAATGGTATAGCCACTTTAGAAGATAGTTTGGCAGCTTGTAATAAAACGAAACATACTCTTCCCATATGATCAAGCAATCATGCTTCTTGGTATTTACCCAAAGGAGTTGAAAGTTTATGTCCACAAAAAAAAAAAAAAAAAAACCTGCCCACAGATATTTATAGCAACTTTATTCATAATTGCCAAAACTTGAAAGCAACAAAAATGTCCTTCGGTAGATTAATGGATACATAAACGGTGATACATCCAGAGAATGAAATATTATTCAGTGCTAAAAACAAATGATCTATCAAGCCATGAAAGACGTAGAGGAAATATAAATGCATAGTACTAAGTGAAAGAAGCCAATCTGAAAAGGCTACATACTGTATGATTCCAACTATATAACATTTTAGAAACAGCAAAACTATGGAGAAAGTAAAAAGATCAATGATTACCAGGGGTTGGGGAGAGGGATGAATGGGTGGAGCACAGAGGATTTTTAAGACAGTGGAACTACACTGTATGATATTATAATGGTGGGCAGATATCATGATACCTTTGTCTAAACCCACAGAATGCACAACACCA